TGAGTACTAGTACGTCAAAAACCCCTACGCGTAAGACGTACTAGTACGACCAAAACCCTCAAAGGGTTAAAGTGAGGCATTGTACTTCCCATTTCCAGGATTCAAGTCCGGCTATATAAAAATAACCGGTTTCCATGAATCCCTTCACTAAATATTACCCTGCTCACACTCCAACAGATCGTCAGGTCCCAAATACCATTCGTCTCCATTCACTCCTATCGAACACGCTCAAACACGCCTGCTGGAAGTCCAAGCCCCTCGCCCAAAAAACCTCCCTTACCCCTTCCTTCCAACCTTTTCGAGGACGACCCCTACCTTGCCTTCCTTCCCCTACAGATTTATACGCTCTCCATGTCATTCTACTCTGATCCATTCTCTCTAAATGACCAAACCACCTCAACAACCCCTCTTCAGCCCTCTGACTAATACTTTTATTAGCTCCACACATTCTCCTATGTTATATGTACTATTATATACTGTATTCTTACAATAAAGAAGCTAGAAAATGATGACGTTATAAACCCTTTCAGGGTTGGGACCTCCGATCTCAAAATTTCTCTAAGGGTCAAGAAGAAATAATAAGAATATTAATAAAAAACTTACAGAATTAGAGCATATTTTTGTGGATGTAATAAAAATAGGAGAGAAGAGTTATTAAATGGAGAGTTAGAGGTATTGGGAAGATGGAGGGAATATTTTGAGGAATTGTTAAATGTTGATGAAGATAGGGAAGCTGTGATTTCGTGTATAGGGCAAGGAGGAATAACATCTTGTAGGAGTGAGGAAGAGCCAGTTGTGAGTGTGGGGGAAGTTCGTGAGGCAGTAGGTAAAATGAAAGGGGGTAAGGCAGCTGGGATTGATGGGATAAAGATAGAAATGTTAAAAGCAGGTGGGGATATAGTTTTGGAGTGGTTGGTGCAATTATTTAATAAATATATGGAAGAGGGTAAGGTACCTAGGGATTGGCAGAGAGCATGCATAGTTCCTTTGTATAAAGGCAAAGGGGACAAAAGAGAGTGCAAAAATTATAGGGGGATAAGTCTGTTGAGTATACCTGGCAAAGTGTATGGTAGAGTTATTATTGAAAGAAATAAGAGTAAGACGGAGAATAGGATAGCAGATGAACAAGGAGGCTTTAGGAAAGGTAGGGGGTGTGTGGACCAGGTGTTTACAGTGAAACATATAAGTGAACAGTATTTAGATAAGGCTAAAGAGGTCTTTGTGGCATTTATGGATTTGGAAAAGGCGTATGACAGGGTGGATAGGGGGGGCAATGTGGCAGATGTTGCAGGTGTATGGTGTAGGAGGCAGGTTACTGAAAGCAGTGAAGAGTTTTTTCGAGGATAGTGAGGCTCAAGTTAGAGTATGTAGGAAAGAGGGAAATTATTTCCCAGTAAAAGTAGGCCTTAGACAAGGATGTGTGATGTCACCGTGGTTGTTTAATATATTTATAGATGGGGTTGTAAGAGAAGTAAATGCGAAGGTCTCGGCAAGAGGCGTGGAGTTAAAAGATAAAGAATCACACATAAAGTGGGAGTTGTCACAGTTGCTCTTTGCTGATGACACTGTGCTCTTGGGAAATTCTGAAGAGAAGTTGCAGAGATTGGTGGATGAATTTGGTAGGGTGAGCAAAAGAAGAAAATTGAAAGTGAATACAGGAAAGAGTAAGGTTATGAGGATAACAAAAAGATTAGGTGATGAAAGATTGGATATCAGATTGGAGGGAGAGAGTATGGAGGAGGTGAATGTATTCAGATATTTGGGAGTGGACATGTCTGCGGATGGGTCTATGAAAGATGAGGTGAATCATAGAATTGATGAGGGGAAAAGGGTGAGTGGTGCACTTAGGAGTCTGTGGAGACAAAGAACTTTGTCCTTGGAGGCAAAGAGGGGAATGTATGAGAGTATAGTTTTACCAATGCTCTTATATGGGTGTGAAGCATGGGTGATGAATGTTGCAGCGAGGAGAAGGCTGGAGGCAGTGGAGATGTCATGTCTGAGAGCAATGTGTGGTGTGAATATAATGCAGAGAATTCGTAGTTTGGAAGTTAGGAGGAGGTGCGGGATTACCAAAACTGTTGTCCAGAGGGCTGAGGAAGGGTTGTTGAGGTGGTTTGGACATGTGGAGAGAATGGAGCGAAACAGAATAACTTCAAGAGTGTATCAGTCTGTAGTGGAAGGAAGGCGGGGTAGGGGTCGGCCTAGGAAAGGTTGGAGGGAGGGGGTAAAGGAGGTTTTCTGTGCGAGGGGCTTGGACTTCCAGCAGGCATGCGTGAGCGTGTTTGATAGGAGTGAATAGAGACAAATGGTTTTTAATAATTAACGTGCTGTTGGAGTGTGAGCAAAGTAACATTTATGAAGGGGTTCAGGGAAACCGGCAGGCCGGACTTGAGTCCTGGAGATGGGAAGTACAGTGCCTGCACTCTGAAGGAGGGGTGTTAATGTTGCAGTTTAAAAACTGTAGTGTAAAGCACCCTTCTGGCAAGACAGTGATGGAGTGAATGATGGTGAAAGTTTTTCTTTTTCGGGCCACCCTGCCTTGGTGGGAATCGGCCAGTGTGATAATAAAAATAATAATAAAATAAAAAAAAATTTCCCATCAGTACTTACCGTGATACAGAGGTATGAAGTGGATAGTAAGTGAGCGGCTGACAGCAACATACCTTACCTTTGATATACCTCTTTAGAGTTTTGAGAGTTTGTCTATTCTCTGAGCCTGGCAATGGGCCAGGCTCATCTAATGCTTGCCTGGTCAACCAGACTGTTGCTGCTGGTAGCCCGCTGCCCCCACATATCCATCATAGCCTGGTTGATCTGGCACCTGGTGAAGATACTTGTTCAGTTTTCTCTTGAAGGCTTCTACACTTGTTCCAGCCGTGTTTCTGATATCTTCTGGTAAGCTGTTGAATAGTCTGGGACCCCGGATGTTGATACAGTGTTTCCGTATTGTCCCCACTGCACCCCTGCTCCTCGCTGGGTTTATTTTGCACTTCCTCCCATATCTCTCACTCCAATATGTTATGGCAGTGTGCAGATTTGGGACCAGGCCCTCAAGTACTTTCCAGACTGTCACACATTCTGTATTAGTTTCTTTAGTTTTATTCTATTTTATCTTTGCTTTTCTAATATTTTATTTTTTCCAGCATCTTTTTGGAGATTTACGATAAAAAATGTTAGGTATGCAACGAATGCATAAAATATATGTAGATACTAGTCTATTTTGTCATTTACTACGAGAAAATACAGCCTTTCCTCACTTAACGACGGAGTTCCGTTCCTAAGACCACATTGGTAAACGAATTTGTTACTAAGTGAGGAGCATACTATAATGGTAGTGGGTTTGTGTCAATCATCTTTGGCATTGTTTTAATGTCACCTTTGCACCATTTATAACATTTCTGGTATATTTTTAAATGTTTATACAGCAGTGTACTGTATATTGTAATAAAAAGAATTGAGGAAATCAGCTCTAACATACGTACATTATTTAGGTATGCATACTGGTCAGAGAGCCCGTTATAAGTCAGAGTCATCAGTAAGTGAGGAGAGGCTGTATATGCAAATCTATATAAACAGTTAAAAATTATCAAAATTTACACACACAAACAATTTCAGATCATACATGTTCCATTCACAGTTGAGAGAAATGTGAACAAATGTAAAGATTCAATAATATAATAACAATACTCCTCTCCTTTTCGTTAGTGTGACTTTGTAAATGGTCCACATCAGACAAACATCGTTGTAAGCTCCTCTCTTCTATGTGTGGGTTATTTGTGTATTGTGTAGTGTCAATAATATAATTTTATTTTTTAACTTGTTGGCCGTCTCCCACTGAAGCAGGGTGACAAAAAAAAAAAAAAACTTTCACCATCATTCACACTATCACCATCTTTCCAGAAGTGTGCAGATACGACAGTTTAGATATCGTTCTAAACAGCAAATAACCCAAACCCCTCCTTGAAAGTGTAGGCATTGTACTTCCCACCTCCAGGACTCAAATCTGGCTAACCAGTGTTGTTGAAGGGTCAACTGTTTATATAGCAGGCATCATATATATGCCCGCACAGGCTGTTTGCCTGATGGTTTCGAAAAGTGCCTGGGCACCTTTTGTATGAAAGATTGTGCCCCTTGCCATACTGCCAAAGACATAAGAGACTGGATAAACAATTGTGAAATTTCATATTAAATGACTGGCCTGGTAACTCACTGGTCTTTAATCCAACAAAGAACATTTGCAACTTTATTAAGCATAAGCTTCATGGCATGCACATGTCTTCTAACCCCAAAGCCTCAAATGCCATTAAGCAGGTGTGCAAGGTACTGACACTTCTATACCCCATAAGTCTGCCTCATCAGTGCCTAGGAGACTTAAAGAGTGCATCAAGAAGCAGGGTAATCCTATGAAATTCTAGTTTATGTGAGGAACCCATATTTCATTATTTTATTTTTAAAACAAGAGTTTATGATGAGCATTCTCATTATTCATAGGATCTGTTTGTATGAGTGGTAGACTTCTGGATGGATATAATTTTGCAGGAGCAACTGAAACATTAGAAAATTATTTAATCAATAAGTAGCTACAATAAGAATAAGAGAAACATGGCATACCAAGAGAATAGTGTAGTGTCAATGTTCATGACAAAGATGAAAGTGAATGAGCTAGGAAAATATTATAGTGAGAAGTACAAGCAACTGCTGAAAGTTGGGCTAGAAGTGTGAACAGGTAATGAGAAAATCAAGAAAAAATTTGGTTAGGGTTTCACTACATGTTAGGCTTCCTTGTTTGGTTACTTGGCATACTTGTTTCCACTCTCTATGCTGCTTAATATAATTTAGCGCAAAAGGTTAATGTTGTACCCGAAAACCCATCAATGAAATTAAAAATAAAATAAAAAAAAGGAAATGAGAGTACACCCCCAGCTGTAAACAAGGACCACCACCGGTGCAGTAGGATTGAGTACCACCACCATGAGGGGTACCCAGGACTGTCTACCCACATAAGGGGATTGTCCAGCAGCTAGGGGGCAGGAGGGGCCACACCAGACATTGATACCCACGCGCTGAAAATCTTCCTCAAATTTGTAGGCGCCACCTCCTGTAGCACAGATAGTTGAAGCAAGGGTAGCCATACCCTTGCTTTTTGATAGCTCAAGGAATTGTGGCATCTCTGATGTTGGGAAGCGTATAAAGTGAAGTGTGCCAGTTCGATTCCCAACACGCAATTTTTCCATCTGCAAATAAAAATAAAAACCTGTAACTCTTATTTTGAACCTGTTTTTTCTAGTGCTACAAACAAGCAATCCTTTGGTCATGACATGCATTCAATGATTCAGTACTATAGTGATCAAGATTTAAGGAATGTAGTAGCATTACTCACAATATTTCACTAATCAAATATACCTGACAATTATCTTTGATGTTATCAATACATAAACAAACCACACTCATCAGGTAATAAATATCATTGCTGCTGCACATGACTACAATCTTTCATGGAAGTCAGCATTAATAGCTATACAAAATGTTGTTCTTATTTCAATGGGCAATGAATACAAGTTACAAAACTTAGTTTTGTATATGGTATACAAAAAACTTGAAGCTGTTATGGGGCCCAACTGTAAACACTGCACAATCAATGGTATACTGTGACAAGGTGGCCACCAACCGAATGTATGAATTGGCAAATGAGGTGGTGAATCTATTCAGATACTATACAGTACTGTAGTGTTAGCTGGAAATTGAGATTCACAATTAATGCTAAGAGTGATAGCAGTGTATAGGAAAAATTACATACCAATGTGTCAATGGTATGCCAGGAGCAAAGGGCTAGTAACCCATTCTCCTGCATAAATTACTAAATTTAAAAAGAGAAACTTTCGTTTTTCTTTATGGGCCACCCTGCCTTGGTGGGATATGGCCGGTTCGTTGAAAAAAAAAGTGTCAATGGTCAAGATGATGAGTTTATTTACTGTTTCTGTAGCAGATTTTGAAAGTTTATATCCCTTACGGTATATTTTTTCCTGGGGGGGGGAGAGGAAGAAGGTAAAGCAGTGGCTAGAGTAGTAGTTTTTCCATTTGATTGGTTAATTTGAGTGACATAACTATTAAGCATCATGATGTGCATTATATTTGTTTCTTTAGAGATTCAAACTAATCTATGCCCATTTTTTGTAGTACAGTACCAGCAATGTTTCTTTTTGATGGGGTAAAGAACAAGACAGCATAGTACAGAGGTGTGCTGGAGTTAATTTACCCAAATTGTTTCCTAAATTCTAAGTATCACAAAGATGTTTGTTGACTTAAATACAGAAGCCCCAATCAGCACTTGTCTAGACAGGAGTTTTTTTTTCCTTGAAACACTATTGAAATAGTGTACCCAAGTCCAAAATTCACAGGACAACAACCAGTTAAGCTTATTTTTCTCAAAGTTTACTGAATGCTTAAGTTCAGTTTGCATGCCAAATCCTATTACCTTACAGGTAAGGCCATTGTTTTTAAATGGAGGCTTAATGTTACCCTCATGCTCCAGTTGCCTTGTATGTGTCCCAAACCTTATGCAGCACAAGCAGCTGCAGGAAAGTTCCCTGCTGAGCTAGAGGAAATTATTTCCGAAGAGTGCTACAAACCTAAGGAAATGCAACAATTATTGCAGATGAGACAGGAATAAACTGGAAGCTGCCATGTAGAGCTTACATCAGCAAACAAAAGAAAAGCAAGCCTTGATTCAAGGCACTGGATGATTGATTCTGTTAATTAACCCTGCATTTCAACAGAAATAGGTTTTACAAATAATGAGTCTCCCTGCTTTATAGGTATCTAACCTAGTACATTATTATTATAATCAAAACCAAGCACTAAACCCACAAGGGTCATACAGCACTGCTTACCCTAGAACAGCCAGGGTCTTCACTAGTGGGTCTTATAACCCCATAACACTGCATAAGATAATTTCAGGTAAATGCCTATGCTTATTTATTGCTCACAGAATCCACATGCTTTATGAGGTATGTACAAAACCACCTTGCCTGTTATTTAGTGGACTAACAAGGCAGCATGGATGAGTGATATCCTGTTTGTTGATTGGCTCAAGCATTATTTTACTCCTTTAGTCATGATGCACCTGTTCCAAACAAACCTTTCATTCGAGGTTCATCTCGCTATTTCCTAAGTCATCCTTCACTTTTGCAGTCTCTGGACCCATATGTGAAGGTTGTGTATTTGTCCCCAAATACAACATCTCTGATATACTGTACTGATACCACCAGATCGAGGAATGGGTAGTGCAGAACCTAATTGCAGCAATGAATGACAATTCAAACTCTACAATGCCAAATTTTTGGCATAAATTTAACACTGTAAATGCAATAATTAATGTAAAAGTTGCACAAGATAAAGCTCACCAAGCAACAATAAACGAAGGGTGGGGAAAACTGCGGCTTACTGTGGTGAATAATTTCACAAGTTTACTCCTAAACAGTCAGGTCCATGAAACTGTGAATCTGGCAAGGAAAGTGCCAGGTGAGGGCTTTCAAATTTGCAGGTAAAAGATGTAAATAAACAAGATGCAGAAGAAATGTTGGAGGAGCTTAATTCCCTGTGAGAAGGGAAGCAGGTAACAGAAGATATGCAGGATGCTGCATACTACTGGAAAAGTTGCAGACTTTTTGACTGAAAGATACCTTGACACATCTAGAAGTATTACTGTGAAGTGAGGGTATGGAGCAGGTATTGATGTCTCGTAATTCACTATAGGTAGTAGGTTGGTAGACAGCAACCACCCACGGAAGTACTACTGTCCTGCCAGATGACTGTGAAACAGAAACCTGTAACTGTTTTGCATGATGGTAGGACTGCTGGTTTCTTTTTCTGTCTCATAAACACGCAAGATAACAAGGATATCTTGCTACTCCTACTTACACTTTGGTCACACTTCACAGACACGCACATGCATATATATATACATACATCTAGGTTTTTCTCCTTTTTCTAAATAGCTCTTGTTCTTCTTTATTTCTTCTATTGTCCATGGGGAAGTGGAAAAGAATCTTTCCTCCGTAAGCCATGCGTGTCGTATGAGGCGACTAAAATGCCGGGAGCAATGGGCTAGTAACCCCTTCTCCTGTAGACATTTACTAAAAAAGAGAAGAAGAAAAACTTTATAAAACTGGGATGCTTGAATGTGTGTGGATGTAGTGCGGATGACAAGAAACAGATGATTGCTGATGTTATGAATGAAAAGAAGTTGGATGTCCTGGCCCTAAGCGAAACAAAGCTGAAGGGGTAGGGAGTTTCGGTGGGGGAAATAAATGGAATTAAATCTGGAGTATCTGAGAGAGTTAGAGCAAAGGAAGGGGTAGCAGTAATGTTGAAGGATCAGTTATGGAAGGAGAAAAGAGAATATGAATGTGTAAATTCAAGAATTATGTGGATTAAAGTAAAGGTTGGATGCGAAACGTGGGTCATAATAAGCATGTATGCACCTGGAGAAGAGAGGAATGTAGAGGAGAGAGAGAGATTTTGGGAGATGTTAAGTGAATGTATAGGAGCCTTTGAACCAAGTGAGAGAGTAATTGTGGTAGGGGACCTGAATGCTAAAGTAGGAGAAACTTTTAGAGAGGGTGTGGTAGGTAAGGTTTGGGAGCCCTTTGATTGAACTTTGTATAGAAAGGGGTTTAGTTATAGGTAATACATATTTTAAGAAAAAGAGGATAAATAAGTATACAAGATATGATGTAGGGCGAAATGACAGTAGTTTGTTGGATTATGTATTGGTAGATAAAAGACTGTTGAGTAGACTTCAGGATGTACATGTTTATAGAGGGGCCACAGATATATCAGATCACTTTCTAGATGTAGCTACACTGAGAGTAAAAGGTAGATGGGATACAAGGAGAATAGAAGCATCAGGGAAGAGAGAGGTGAAGGTTTATAAACTAAAAGAGGAGGCAGTTAGGGTAAGATATAAACAGCTATTGGAGGATAGATGGGCTAATGAGAACATAGGCAATGGGGTCGAAGAGGTATGGGGTAGGTTTAAAAATGTAGTGTTAGAGTGTTCAGCAGAAGTTTGTGGTTACAGGAAAGTGGGTGCGGGAGGAAGAGGAGCGATTGGTGGGATGATGATGTAAAGATAGTAGTAAGGGAGAAAAAGTTAGCATATGAAAAGTTTTTACAAAGTAGAAGTGATGCAAGGAGGGAAGAGTATATGGAGAAAAAGAGAGAGGTTAAGAGAGTGGTGAAGCAATGTAAAAAGAGAGCAAATGAGAGAGTGGGTGAGATGTTATCAACAAATTTTGTTGAAAATAAGAAAAAGTTTTGGAGTGAGATTAACAACTTAAGGAAGCCTAGAGATCAAATGGATTTGTCAGTTAAAAATAGGAGAGGAGAGTTATTAAATGGAGAGTTAGAGGTATTGGGAAGATGGAGGGAATATTTTGAGGAATTGTTAAATGTTGATGAAGATAGGGAAGCTGTGATTTCGTGTATAGGGTAAGGAGGAATAACATCTTGTAGGAGTGAGGAAGAGCCAGTTGTGAGTGTGGGGGAAGTTCGTGAGGCAGTAGGTAAAATGAAAGGGGGTAAGGCAGCTGGGATTGATGGAATAAAGATAGAAATGTTAAAAGCAGGTGGGGATATAGTTTTGGAGTGGTTGGTGCAATTATTTAATAAATGTATGGAAGAGGGTAAGGTACCTAGGGATTGGCAGAGAGCATGCATAGTTCCTTTGTATAAAGGCAAAGAGGACAAAAGAGAGTGCAAAAATTATAGGGGGATAAGTCTGTTGAGTATACCTGGTAAAGTGTATGGTAGAGTTATTATTGAAAGAATTAAGAGTAAGACGGAGAATAGGATAGCAGATGAACAAGGAGGCTTTAGGAAAGGTAGGGGATGTGTGGACCAGGTGTTTACAGTGAAACATATAAGTGAACAGTATTTAGATAAGGCTAAAGAGGTCTTTGTGGCATTTATGGATTTGGAAAAGGCGTATGACAGGGTGGATAGGGGGGCAATGTGGCAGATGTTGCAGGTGTATGGTGTAGAAGGTAGGTTACTGAAAGCAGTGAAGAGTTTTTACGTGGATAATGAGGCTCAAGTTAGAGTATGTAGGAAAGAGGGAAATTATTTCCCAGTAAAAGTAGGCCTTAGACAAGGATGTGTGATGTCACCATGGTTGTTTAATATATTTATAGATGGGGTTGTAAGAGAAGTAAATGCGAGGGTTTTGGCAAGA